GCTTGTTCGAGACGCATACGTTGAGATATACGTAGATTGTGATGTGACGGTGTTTGTAGATTTGAGGAAGCTGATGATAACGAATCCGAATTCCAATAGTTCATTGATGCACGTGCTATTTGGGGACTTCCAGCTACGAGTTGAGTTCTCACATAGGCTTGATCATTTTTCAAAATGAGATTGCCCTGCCATTGAACGTTGTATGGATCACGTGATAATTCATTCGTTGGAGGATTTAGATGAAAATATGGATCCGAGGTTGCACACAACTCGGCAAAAGCAGCCGCCGATGGATGATGATTACCCGCAATACTCATGACATTTAGCATCTGTTGAGCTGCAGCAGCATAGGCCATATTTTGTGGTGGATACAGACCTGATGATGTGCCATAGAGTTCAGCAGCATCGGCAAACATATTGCGAAACGGCGCAACAGGGTCTGACAAGAGATATAGTTTAATGAAAATAGAAAAGAGCAAAGAAGACGTACCTGGTCCGAGAAATTGCTGTAAAGGTGATGCTTGTTGTCGCATGGCAACTGCTGCAACAGTGGCAGGATCCAATGAGCCTAGTAAAGGTGATGCTTGTGCTTGGCTGATGATATTGTTAGTCAATACACTCGATGTAGACGACGCTGACGATGACGGAATGGGTAATGCGATAGGAACTGGTACTGCCTGTTGAATGGGTGTAGAACGATTGGATGACGAAGACGTTGACGATGTACTTTGACCTTTTGTACCCGAATCTCTGAAAGAGAGAGAGAAAGACAGAATATAGATAAAACTTCGATACAAAAAGAAAATATTTACCTCTTTGATACTTTTTCGTGAGTATGCTGAGTTGTACTCGATGATATTTGCTGATTTTGTTGTCCGCTCATGATCGTATTGAGAAGCAGGGTATTGACGATATGATTGCTGTTGCTTGGACTACTATTATTTGCTGATAGCGAGGTTCGTGTGGCAACGTGTGGTGGAGAACTTGAGACTATTGGAGGAGCAAGCAGATTTGATGGTGACGTTCCAGCTGAACTTGTCGGATTTCCTGATATTGGTGGAAATAATGAAAATGCAAAGTTTGGATGATGAGCAGCAGCAGCAGCAACAGCAGCAGCAAATGGATTACTTTCTCCTGCAAGAATATGCGGAAAATTCACGATAGGTGAACGTGACGGTGGCGGTTGATCGGTTTTCGGTGTAGACGAATGCTTATGATTTGAAGATGTTTTTGACGTTGTCGGTCGGACAACTATTGGCGCAACTGGGGCCGCTGTAGCAACATTTGTAGGCAGCGTTGTTTTCAGTGGTGATGTAGAACGACGATGAGAACCAAATAGATTCAACGTTTCGCTTGTCGTCGTTGCTGCCACTGTCGTACTAGTTGTCGGTGTCGTAGCAGTAGCCGATGATGTTAGACAAGGCGTTTTCATGACGTCACGAAGAACATTCGGTATCGGTGTCGATTTGGTAGTAACTGTAGTTGTCGAAGTCGTTCCTGCAGATGAGGATAATAATGGCGTTGCGTCGATGATTGATGGTGCCGATTCCGTTACTATTGCTGTTGTAGTTGAAGTTGTTGCTGTCGTTGATACTCCTTTTGCGACGTCATCAATAACTTCTTCAATGTGTGATCGCGTCGTCACTACTCCGACTGTTGATGGTGCAGCTGTTACGGATGTTTTGTCTGACGTAAGATTACTCGATGAAACAATGTTCGAAACCATAGTTATCAAATCATTTTGTTGTGTCGATGGTGTTGAGATACCGGTCGTTGTTGCTGTCACAGTCGCAGTTGGCTGTGGTTGTCGAGACTTTTGATCGGTTGGGCTTGGCAATGAAGCCACGAATGAGTAAACTGGCTTACTTATTGTTGGTGTTACACGTGCTGTGCCTTTCATTGCCGGATGGTCTGCAGCAAGATTTGCAGGATTATTATTCAGCATCAAAAGACTGTTCACTGCACTCAAGGTTTCTTCGACATTTTCATTAAATGTTGCGGATGTTAACGAAGATTTAATAGAGACATGTGACGGTAGAATCGACGTCGTTGCGGTTGATGTTGGCTGGTGTTCAACGATTGGTAGAGTTTCTTTCGATATTGGTGCGAGAATTGGAGAAGATTTTTCCAGATTGGCTGTTTTCGAGATGGTTTGTTGGGGAATTTGAATTGATGGACATAGGACTTTGATAGCATTTTCCGTTTCCGCACTGGTTGTTGATAGTGGTTGAGTGGAGCTGATGATTGAAGATGGCGGTGGAACTGGTTCCGTTTCCATCGATGTGATATGCGATTGATCAGGTATGGATGAGGAAGAAGACGACGGCGGTGGTACGACAAGTTCCTCTTTAGGTATTTGAAGAGGCACTACTGGTTCAATATTTTCCTCTTTAATCTTTGTATGAGATGTCCATTGTGAAACGTTTTCCATTGGTTCAAGTTTTATTTGCGTTTGCATAGTAAGATCATCAGTACTCTTTCTCAAACGTTTCGCTTCTTTTTCAGTTGCAGACGACGATGATGATGATGGTACTTCTGCAGTTGACAGCCGTTTCGCAGTTGCTGAGACCGGATGTGGTTGTTCAACAGTGGGTAAAGCAGGAGGTATTGGCGGTAAGGACTCCTTTTCATTGACTGCCGACGATTGAACTGTTTTAGCGTTTGCTTTCGTTTGCTGACGTTTATTCGCAAGAGTCTCTTGTTTCGTCGCGCGTTTACCTTTGCCAGTAGCTCTGCCTGACCGAGACTGAGCGGATTTCGTTGGCTCTTCACGTCGACTTCCACCAATTAAATCACTCAATTGCATAGTTTCGGGATTCAATGTTTCATCGTCACTCAATGCTGATTGGGTTGGAGCGGTCGGTGGCTTCAGTGTGTTTGCGTTCGATGTGGTTTGTTCTTCCTTATCTGTTGGCTTTTCAGTGGTCGTGGGTGCGGACTCATGACCATCTTCCATCTCTTCATCGTCATTTTTCGAGGTTTCATGACTTGTTGATGTTTCCGTTGATGGTTTGCGTAAGGATGCGAGTGGTGTCGTTGTCGAATGACGATGATGACTAGTGAAGACAATACCAAATTTAGTTGGTGTAGCTGGAGCAGTCGTTTCGGATGTTAAGGTGTCTTTTAATGGTTCGTTAGGTGGAGATGTAACGACAATCGAAGGCTTATCAGTCGTAGGAGTGGATGTTTCTGATTCGATTTGATTAGCAGGTGGTGGCGGTGTGGATGAATGTTGTTCCTCGATCGTTGCTGTTGTAGTTTTCGCTTTTTGATCATCTAATTTGAGTTTCTTCGTCGATTCATTTGATTCATCAGTTGACGGACGCTTCTGGGCAGAACTTGTTGTTGTTGTTGTTTTGGTCGTTTTCGTTGGAGGTTTCGGTGTAAACGTCGGTGCTTTCTTTTTCTCAATTGGTTTCGAGATGGAAATCTTCTTTTTAGCAACCTGTGACTCTTCGACGTTTTTGGATGTTATTTCTTTTTTCGTCTGCTCGTTATTTGTTTTTAAGGTCGGCTTTTTCATCGGTTGTGCTGGTGGTGGAACTGTTTTCTTCTTGCGATTAGCCGATTTACTATCATCGTCGCTTTCCTCCGCATCGAAAATATCGTTATCAAACACGGTGGCCTTTTTATCCTTTGTCTTCGAGCGTATTTCGATTTCCGAATCAGAAGAATCGCTCATGACATTCTAATAAAAAAACAAGAGTCTCTTTTTGAACTGAAAAACTATTTCGAACTCTTACAAGTCGTCTTGACGTGACATTGTTCGATCGATTCGGTCTACGACTCTTCTTATTATCGTCATCATCGTCGTCATCATCCGAATCATCTGAATTACTGTCGTCGTCCGAAAGATGATCTTCACTTGTCGACAATGAACTGGAATAAGCAATAAAATAAATTTCGCTTTTTCATTCTTGTTTGTCTTACCTGTTTCGTGTTTGTTCACTTCTTGCTCGTTTTTTAATTCGATCATACATGCTTGTGTCTTGTCGTAATTCTCGTAACGTATTCGTGTTCTGTGTTGATTTGCCTTTGTTTTTGCTAACCGTTTTCGTTCGTTTTTGAATTGGTTCCTTCCTCGGTTTTCTATCATCATCGCTCGAGGCGTGATCCTGATCCGAAGTTGTTGTTGTTGTTGTTTGTTCGACTCTCCTTTCTTCGCTATCCGACGC